TATAGTCTAGGACAGCTGCACCTTCATATAGTCCAGGACAGCTGCACCTTCATATAGTCTAGGACAGCTGCACCTTCATATAGTCCAGGACAGCTGCACCTTCATATAGTCTAGGACAGCTGCACCTTCATATAGTCCAGGGCAGCTGCACCTTCATATAGTCTAGGGCAGCTGCACCTTCATATAGTCTAGGACAGCTGCACCTTCATATAGTCCAGGACAGCTGCACCTTCATATAGTCTAGGACAGCTGCACCTTCATATAGTCCAGGACAGCTGCACCTTCATATAGTCCAGGACAGCTGCACCTTCATATAGTCTAGGACAGCTGCACCTTCATATAGTCCAGGACAGCTGCACCTTCATATAGTCTAGGACAGCTGCACCTTCATATAGTCCAGGACAGCTGCACCTTCATATAGTCCAGGACAGCTGCACCTTCATATAGTCTAGGACAGCTGCACCTTCATATAGTCCAGGACAGCTGCACCTTCATATAGTCCAGGACAGCTGCACCTTCATATAGTCCAGGACAGCTGCACCTTCATATAGTCCAGGACAGCTGCACCTTCATATAGTCTAGGACAGCTGCACCTTCATATAGTCCAGGACAGCTGCACCTTCATATAGTCCAGGACAGCTGCACCTTCATATAGTCCAGGACAGCTGCACCTTCATATAGTCCAGGACAGCTGCACCTTCATATAGTCCAGGACAGCTGCACCTTCATATAGTCCAGCACAGCTGCACCTTCATATAGTCCAGCACAGCTGCACCTTCATATAGTCCAGCACAGCTGCACCTTCATATAGTCCAGGACAGCTGCACCTTCATATAGTCCAGGACAGCTGCACCTTCATATAGTCTAGGACAGCTGCACCTTCATATAGTCCAGGACAGCTGCACCTTCATATAGTCCAGGACAGCTGCACCTTCATATAGTCCAGGACAGCTGCACCTTCATATAGTCCAGGACAGCTGCACAACTGTACATGTACCTAAATGTGTTAATAAAAAACAACAATTTCTCGTCTGTTGGTCACATGTGAAAAAATCGCGTAATTTAGAGATAACACCATCAATAGTGTCCCAGAAATGTGTAAGTTCTTCATTCATAATGATGTGCTGCCCGAAATCTTAGCGAAGTATCCAAAATTTGCTTACTGTAGGTAATGCATGCACATGACTGTAAAGCTGCCGCCCAGTTGGGTGGGTGTGGAGCACATGACTGTAAAGCTGCCGCCCAGTTGGGTGGGTGTGGAGCACATGACTGTAAAGCTGCCGCCCAGTTGGGTGGGTGTGGAGCACATGACTGTAAAGCTGCCGCCCAGTTGGGTGGGTGTGGAGCACATGACTGTAAAGCTGCCGCCCAGTTGGGTGGGTGTGCAGCACATGACTGTAAAGCTGCCGCCCAGTTGGGTGGGTGTGGAGCACATGACTAAAGCTGCCGCCCAGTTGGGTGGGTGTGCAGCACATGACTGTAAAGCAGCCGCCTAGTTGGGTGGGTGTGGAGCACATGACTGTAAAGCTGCCGCCCAGTTGGGTGGGTGTGGAGCAAGACTAGTAACTGTGTGACTCACCGTAGATGTAAAGTGCCTTGTATAGTGACTGTTGTGAGCCTCTTGTTGAATCACTTGTGATACAAAAGATTATTGATGAGTGTATTTGTGTGGGTGCACATACTCATACATGTATGTATGAGTATGTGTACATGTATATATAACATTAATAATTATGTAACTAGCGTCACAAGATTATTATTTGCTTAGCTAAACGAACTAGAGGGTTCAGTTCCTGAACCGATTATGTGCCTCTGTAACCCTTTACACTACCGCCCACGGGATGGGTATGGGGTGCATAATAAAAAAAAGAAATTGAATTTTTAGCAACAACGGTAATGTTGAATTAACATTACTGTATGTTTGTGTATGGGGGGGGGGGGAGTTAATGGGCTCTGTACTCACCTTGTGCCAGAGTACCTGTGCCCCAGTTAACGGGGTCCGCCTTGTCAGCTGTGGATCGTCTGCTGCAGTAGTTCCTGGTGCAGCTGGGGTCTACATAGCTGCATGTAAGTCTATATATATATATATATATATATATATATATATATATATATATATATATATATATATATATATATATATATATATATATATATATTTATATATATATATATATATATATATATATATATATATATATATATATATATATATATATATATATATATATATATATATATATATATATATATATATATATATATATATATATATATATATATATATATATATATATATATATATATATATATATATATATATATATATATATATATATATATATATATATATATATATATTTATATATATATATATATATATATATATATATATATATATATATATATATATATATATTATGCAAACTACTAATAATTGGTACAGCTTAGCTGTATTTGTAGTAGACGTTCTGATTGGTGATGGCGTCGTTGTTGTACAGGACAGGACAGTCAGGTGGTCAACCTGAGCACAGTCAACCATCTCTTCAAAACTTCAGCCTTTTCTTATCAAGAAAGCTACACCACCTCCTCCTCTCCCTTCTCTCTCTTTCCTCACTACATAGTAGTCCTGTGGAAACACTGCATTTGTTATGGTTTTCGTTAGCTTTGTTTCTGTGAGTGCTATTATGTCTGGGTTTTCTTCTAGTGCCCATTCTCCAAGTTCACTTGTTTTATTCGTAATCCCATCTATGTTAGTGTACATTGCCTTGAAGCTCACGTTCTTCTGTCTATTCTCTTGTCCCCTTCTTGGTGAGCGTTCTGCTGGTGGAAGAAGCTGTTCAATAGGTGTGAAGATATGTGAGGTGGGTCCCACAGGGTCTCAGTGGATTCTGGGGTTGGGGGGTTCAAGGGAAGGGGGGACAGGTAGGGTATGGGGTAAAGAGATAAGGGGGACATGGAGGATACGGGATGAGAAGGCGGAGGAGGGATAGGGAGGGTATGTAATGAAAGGGGAGGGGGGCAGGGTCAGAATGGGGTGGGGGGAGGGAGGGCTAAGTGAGCATTTGAGTTGGGGCAGGTAAGGTGAGGGGAAGGGAGGGTTTCTATGCAGAGGGGGGTGGTGGTTTTGCCCTCCCCTCTGGTGTTGCTGGGATGCTGGTTGTGGGTTCCCCTCTTGTCTCTGGGGCTGTTGTGTTCTGGGCTGTGATTTCCTGGTTTGCTCTTCTCTCCCTGCGCTTCCTCCTTGCCTCTGCTGCCCTGGCTCTCTCCTCCTTCGTCCTTTCCCTCTGCAGGAATACTTTTTTGTATTCCTCCACATACTGCAGATGACTCTTCCTTTCTAGAATAACCTGTTTGCATGTGTGTACTTACCTAATTGCACTTACCTAATTGTGCTTGCAGGAATTGAGCTCTGGCTCTTTGGTCCCGCCTCTCAACCGTCAATCAACTAATATATGGGTTTCTGAGCCTACTGGGCTCTATCATATTTACACTTGAAGCTGTGTATGGAGTCTGCCTCCACCACATGACTTCCTAATGCATTACATTTGTCTACTACTCTTAAACTAAAAAAATTCTTTCTAACGTCTCTATGGCTCATTTGAGCACTCAATTTCTACCTGTGTCCCCTAGTGCGTGTGACCCTTGGGGTAAATAGCCTGTCTTTATCTACCCTATCAATTCCTCTGAGAATCTTGTATGTGGTGATCATGTCCCCTCTAACTCTTCTGTCTCCCATTGACGTGAGGTTTAATTCCCGTAGTCTCTCCTAGTAACTCATACCCTTCAGTTCGGGTACTAGTTTGGTGGCAAACCTTTGAACCTTCTCCAGTTTCGTCTTATGCTTGACTAGATATGGACGCCTTGCTGGGGCCGCATACTCCAGGATTGGTCTGACATATGTGGTATACAAAGTTCTGAAAGATTCCTTAAGATTCCTGTGTGTGTATTCACCTAGTTGTATTCACCTAAATGTATTCACCTAGTTGTGCTTGTGGGGGTTGAGCTCTGCTCTTTCGGCCCGCCTCTCAACTGTCAATCAACTGTTTCTAAGTACTATTTTTTTTTCCCACACCACATACACACACCCCCAGGAAGCAGCCCGTGACAGATGACTAACTCCCAGGTACTTATTTACTGCTAGGTAACAGGGGCATAGGGTGAAAGAAACTCTGCCCATTGCTTCTCGCCGACGCCCTGGATCGAACCCGGGACCATAGGATCACGTGTCCAACGTGCTGTTCGCTCGGCCACCGGCTCCCTTAGCATGTGTGTGTGTGTGTGTGCGTGTGTGGAAGAGCTCTTACTCTTACCCCTGCACCTGTGTGCAAAACAATACAGAAGGGAAACAGTGAGCTCCCTGGCACCGAAGGTGATACTCTGAACCGCACAACTTCACGAGAGTATCATCTGGTGTCACCAACACCGGGGCTCACAGTGACCCGGCTCCAGGTTTCACTATGGCGCCACTCTTTCTTCCCCGTCAAGCGACGCTTCGCTTCAAAGGTTCTCCTATGTCTTTTATCACAATTGAAATGAGGAATTTATTTGATCTGATTGTTAATTAAATATGGTCTCAGGAAATATTTTTTTTTTATTTTTAGTCCCCAAACTGGTGTTTAAAGATTATTTATTAATGTTTTTGGGGTATTTAATTAGTTGACGTGACACTGTGTCTCGTTTTCTGGTAGAGACGCCACAACACAGTTTTCTTACTAGGGTTAACTAAGGTGGTAATTATGGGTAACATTTATTTAACATAAGCCAGTAACTCTTTTCTTGCATATTATGTTAAGGGTTAGCAAATGAAATCCCATACATAGTCTCCTGAACCTCAGAGGCTCTCTACGTGTACTCCCCTAGTTGTGCTTGCGGGGGTTGAGCTTTAGCTCTTTGGTCCCGCCTCTCAACTGTCAATCAACAGGTGTACAGGTTCCTGAGCCTACTGGGCTCTATCATATCTACACTTGAAACTGTGTATGGAGTCAGCCTCCACCACATCACTGCTTAAACACGCGCCGGCGACTGTTAGTGAGGTCAACAGGTGGCCTGGCACGGTACACCAGTGTCTGGTGCAGCTGTGTGACGGTGTCTTGGTGCAGCTGTGTGACGGTGTCTTGGTGCAGCTGTGTGACGGTGTCTTGGTGCAGCTGTGTGACGGTGTCTTGGTGCAGCTGTGTGACGGTGTCTTGGTGCAGCTGTGTGACGGTGTCTTGGTGCAGCTGTGTGACGGTGTCTTGGTGCAGCTGTGTGACGGTGTCTTGGTGCAGCTGTGTGACGGTGTCTTGGTGCAGCTGTGTGACGGTGTCTTGGTGCAGCTGTGTGACGGTGTCCTGGTGCAGCTGTGTGACGGTGTCTTGGTGCAGCTGTGTGACGGTGTCTTGGTGCAGCTGTGTGACGGTGTCTTGGTGCAGCTGTGTGACGGTGTCTTGGTGCAGCTGTGTGACGGTGTCTTGGTGCAGCTGTGTGACGGTGTCTTGGTGCAGCTGTGTGACGGTGTCTTGGTGCAGCTGTGTGACGGTGTCTTGGTGCAGCTGTGTGACGGTGTCTTGGTGCAGCTGTGTGACGGTGTCTTGGTGCAGCTGTGTGACGGTGTCTTGGTGCAGCTGTGTGACGGTGTCTTGGTGCAGCTGTGTGACGGTGTCTTGGTGCAGCTGTGTGACGGTGTCTTGGTGCAGCTGTGTGACGGTGTCTTGGTGCAGCTGTGTGACGGTGTCTTGGAGCAGCTGTGTGACGGTGTCCTGGTGCAGCTGTGTGACTGTGTCTTGGTGCAGCTGTGTGACGGTGTCTTGGTGCAGCTGTGTGACGGTGTCTTGGTGCAGCTGTGTGACGGTGTCTTGGTGCAGCTGTGTGACGGTGTCCTGGTGCAGCTGTGTGACGGTGTCTTGGTGCAGCTGTGTGACGGTGTCTTGTGCAGCTGTGTGACGGTGTCTTGTGCAGGTGTGTGACGGTGTCCTGGTGCAGCTGTGTGACGGTGTCTTGGTGCAGCTGTGTGACGGTGTCTTGGTGCAGCTGTGTGACGGTGTCCTGGTGCAGCTGTGTGGCGGTGTCTTGGTGCAGCTGTGTGACGGTGTCTTGGCGCACGTGAGGGCGTGCTGCCCGAGGTGGTGTGAGGGCGTGCTGCCCGGGGTATTGCACGTGTGAGGGCGTGCTGCCCGGGGTGGTGCACGTGTGAGGGCGTGCTGCCCGGGGTGGTGCACGTGTGAGGGCGTGCTGCCTGGGGTATTGCACGTGTGAGGGCGTGCTGCCCGGGGTGGTGCACGTGTGAGGGCGTGCTGCCCGGGGTGGTGTACGTGTGAGGGCGTGCTGCCCGGGGTATTGCACGTGTGAGGGCGTGCTGCCCGGGGTGGTGCACGTGTGAGGGCGTGCTGCCCGGGGTGGTGCACGTGTGAAGGCGTGCTGCCCGGGGTGGTGCACGTGTGAAGGCGTGCTGCCTGGGGTATTGCACGTGTGAGGGCGTGCTGCCCGGGGTGGTGCACGTGTGAGGGCGTGCTGCCCGGGGTATTGCACGTGTGAGGGCGTGCTGCCCGGGGTGGTGCACGTGTGAGGGCGTGCTGCCCGGGGTGGTGCACGTGTGAGGGCGTGCTGCCCGGGGTGGTGCACGTGTGAGGGCGTGCTGCCCGGGGTGGTGCACGTGTGAGGGCGTGCTGCCCGGGGTGGTGCACGTGTGAGGGCGTGCTGCCCGGGGTGGTGCACGTGTGAGGGCGTGCTGCCCGGGGTGGCGCAAGTGTGAGGGCGTGCTGCCCGGGGTGGTGCACGTGTGAGGGGGTGCTGCCTGGGGTGGCGCACGTGTGAAGGCGTGCTGCCAGGGGTGGTGCACGTGTGAGGGCGTGCTGCCCGGGGTGGTGCACGTGTGAGGGCGTGCTGCCCGGGGTGGTGCACGTGTGAGGGCGTGCTGCCTGGGGTGGCGCACGTGTGAGGGCGTGGTGCCAGGGGTGGTGCACGTGTGAAGGCGTGCTGCCAGGGGTGGTGCACGTGTGAGGGCGTGCTGCCCGGGGTGGTGCACGTGTGAGGGCGTGCTGCCAATGGGGTGGTGCACGTGTGAGTGCGTGCTGCCTGGGGTGGCGCACGTGTGAGGGCGTGGTGCCAGGGGTGGTGCACGTGTGAAGGCGTGCTGCCAGGGGTGGTGCACGTGTGAGGGCGTGCACGTACCGCTGCGGCAGTAGTGGTGCACTGCGCCCGGATCAATACGTCCCCGCCCGCTCCTCCGTCACCACCCAGGCGCCCCACTGCATGTGTGCTCGCCCGCCCACGGTGCCCACCCGTGCCCCACCCCGCCCCCGCCTCCCACCCACCACACCCGCCCACCTGACCTGCCCCTCCTGTGCCGCCGCCGCCCACAGCCCGCCTGGCACGCCCCCGCTCCCCCACCACCACAGCGGGGCGTGGGCCGAGCGCCCACACTCAGCTCACGGTGAGTACTCTCACACCTGACTCCAGTCTCCTGCAGCGACCCTCTTCTCTCACACTGTAACACCTGACTGCTCCAGCTGCAACACCTGACTGGTCCAGCTGCAACACCTGACTGGTCCAGCTGCAACACCTGACTGGTCCAGCTATAACACCTGACTGGTCCAGCTGCAACACCTGACTGGTCCAGCTGCAACACCTGACTGGTCCAGCTGTAACACCTGACTGGTCCAGCTGCAACACCTGACTGCTCCAGCTGCAACACCTGACTGGTCCAGCTGTAACACCAGACTGGTCCAGCTGCAACACCTGACTGATGCAGCTGCAACACCAGACTGGTCCAGCTGCAACACCAGACTGGTCCAGCTGCAACACCTGACTGCTCCAGCTGCAACACCTGACTGGTCCAGCTGCAACACCTGACTGCTCCAGCTGCAACACCTGACTGGTCCAGCTGCAACACCTGACTGATGCAGCTGCAACACCAGACTGGTCCAGCTGCAACACCAGACTGGTCCAGCTGCAACACCTGACTGCTCCAGCTGCAACAACTGACTGGTCCAGCTGCAACACCTGACTGATGCAGCTGCAACACCAGACTGGTCCAGCTGCAACACCAGACTGGTCCAGCTGCAACACCTGACTGCTCCAGCTGCAACACCTGACTGATGCAGCTGCAACACCAGACTGCTCCAGCTGCAACACCTGACTGCTCCAGCTGCAACACCTCACTGGTCCAGCTGCAACACCTGACTGGTCCAGCTGCAACACCTGACTGCTCCAGCTGCAACACCTCACTGGTCCAGCTGCAACACCAGACTGGTCCAGCTGCAACACCTGACTGCTCCAGCTGCAACACCTGACTGGTCCAGCTGCAACACCTGACTGCTCCAGCTGCAACACCAGACTGGTCCAGCTGCAACACCTGACTGGTCCAGCTGCAACACCAGACTGGTCCAGCTGCAACACTAAACTGGTCCAGCTGCAACACTAAACTGGTCCAGCTGGAAACAGCCCCACAAAAGGACTGGTGTCAACTTATGGTTGCCCATAGTGGGAACAAGAAGCTTGTTAGAGTTACCGAGACGCCCTGAGGTCATTTACTCTCCCAGGATGCCCCCCTCCCCCCCACAGTATTTGTCTAAATAACGAGTACCTTCATGCTGCTAGGGGGAACAGAGGCATTAGATGGAAGGTGACCTTCCCCACAAGCTTCAGTTTTTCTTCGGGAATTGAACCAGGGACCATTGGCCCGTGACGCGAGTGTACACACCGCTGGGCCGCGGGATCCACAATATTTTGATAATAAATTTGTGAAGCTCTCTAGACTTAGAGATTACAATGGTCAGTTTAATACTGCACAAATGGTCAGTTTCTGTGAAAGGTGTAGTGGTGAAGAGATAATTCCCAGTACGCCTTATCTGCAGGCGATGAGTCACAATAATATGACTAAAGTATGTTGACCAGACCACACACTAGAAGGTGAAGGGACGACGACGTTTCAGTCCGTCGTGGACCGTCCTGGATCGACTTGAGAATGGTCCAGGACGGACCGAAACGTCGTCGCCCCTTCATCTTCTAGCGTGTGGTCTGGTCAACACGCCTTAACTGGCTTGTGACGGATAAGATACTATCAAGCAAATTGTTTCTTAATGCTAAGTAAGTGTGTGACGAAGACAGCAGACGCCGCTGGTGATGTCTGCCACACTCATGACTCACCCGCCAAGCCTCTGCTCCAGCAGACTCAACGTTAAGTATATATAAAGGTTGAAGGCACTCAACACCCACTTGTTAGTAAGACTCACAACAGAGACCAATAATTATTCACCAAATTTCATATTGTAATTTTCATAAAATTTGTCCTCACACCCGAAGGAAAAATATACAAATGTAAATCTTGAGGAAACATGACGATCAGTAATAACCAGGGGATCAGATAACACCAATAATAACCCGGGGATCAGATAACACCAATAATAACCCGGGGATCAGATAACACCAATAATAACCCGGGGATCAGATAACACCAATAATAACCAGGGGATCAGATCACAGCAGTAATAACCAGGGGATCAGATCACAGCAGTAATAACCAGGTGATCAGATCACAACAGTAATAACCAGGGGATCAGATCACAACAGTAATAACCAGGTGATCAGATCACAGCAGTAATAACCAGGGGATCAGATCACAACAGTAATAACCAGGGGATCAGATCACAACAGTAATAACCAGGTGATCAGATCACAACAGTAATAACCAGGGGATCAGATCACAACAGTAATAACCAGGTGATCAGATCACAGCAGTAATAACCAGGGGATCAGATCACAACAGTAATAACCAGGTGATCAGATAACACCAATAATAACCCGGGGATCAGATAACACCAATAATAACCAGGGGATCAGATCACAGCAGTAATAACCCGGGGATCAGATCACAACAGTAATAACCCGGGGATCAGATCACAGCAGTAATAACCAGGGGATCAGATCACAGCAGTAATAACCAGGGGATCAGATCACAGCAGTAATAACCAGGGGATCAGATCACAACAGTAATAACCAGGGGATCAGATCACAGCAGTAATAACCCGGGGATCAGATCACAACAGTAATAACCCGGGGATCAGATAACACCAATAATAACCAGGGGATCAGATCACAACAGTAATAACCAGGGGATCAGATCACAACAATAGTAACCAGGGGATCAGATCACAACAGTAATAACCAGGGGATCAGATAACACCAATAATAACCAGGGGATCAGATCACAACAGTAATAACCAGGTGATCAGATCACAACAGTAATAACCAGGTGATCAGATCACAGCAGTAATAACCAGGGGATCAGATCACAACAGTAATAACCAGGGGATCAGATCACAGCAGTAATAACCAGGGGATCAGATCACAACAGTAATAACCCGGGGATCAGATCACAACAGTAATAACCAGGGGATCAGATCACAGCAGTAATAACCAGGGGATCAGATCACAGCAGTAATAACCCGGGGATCAGATCACAACAGTAATAACCAGGGGATCAGATCACAGCAGTAATAACCAGGGGATCAGATCACACCAGTAATAACCAGGGGATCAGATCACACCAGTAATAACCAGGGGATCAGATCACACCAGTAATAACCAGGGGATCAGATCACACCAGTAATAACCAGGGGATCAGATCACAACAGTAATAACCCGGGGATCAGATCACACCAGTAATAACCAGGGGATCAGATCACACCAGTAATAACCAGGGGATCAGATCACAACAGTAATAACCAGGGGATCAGATCACAACAGTAGTAACCAGGGGATCAGATCACAACAGTAATAACCAGGGGATCAGATCACAACAGTAATAACCAGGGGATCAGATCACAGCAGTAGTAACCAGGGGATCAGATCACAGTGGTCACATTAGCTACAGTGTTTGACAGTTTAGTAAAGACAAGTCGTGCCACACTTACGAGTCGACCCTCAACAAAACCTCATTTAGCAGCGCTCTCAACACCTCATCTCTCACAACACTGTGATGCAGGAAACACACACAATGATGAATGGTATTGATGATAAATGGTTCAAGCAAAACAAACTCCTGTAGTAATGAAAATGCATGATATAAGTGTTAAATATGCATCGAAAGATGAAGGTATCTTTGGTTGTGTTTATATAACTGGGTAATGTTCTCAACCTCTGTACACTTGTACAATCACGGCCACCTCTGTACACCTGTACAATCACGGCCACCTCTGTACACTTGTACAATCACGGCCACCTCTGTACACCTGTAAAATCATGGCCACCTCTGTACACCTGTACAATCACGGCCTCCTCTGTACACCTGTACAATCACGGCCACCTCTGTACACCTGTACAATCACGGCCACCTCTGTACACCTGTACAATCCATGTGAATGGACAGATGCTTGCAGCCAAAACAAAGAACAATTCACGCTAACCTCACACTAGTAAATATAGCTCAATTAATTCCCCACACTCACTGAGCCTTAAAGGTGCATGGAGATATCGTCGACACTCTCAGTCATGAGGGATATCGTAGGCTTCCCTGAAGTTAGTGAGGTAATCTCCCTCACACACTGAGTGGTGGAGGTTGAAGTCTAACATTTTCACACTGAGTGTTGGATCTTCAGCTCCTGGGCTCCAGATTGGTCGAATTCTTGAGGTTGTTCCTGTGTTGTGACGCATTTAAGATCAAATAAATATTGTTTGTCTTCGCAAGCTCCACAACGGCGCCATGACAGCTGCACACACAGGTGGTGCACACACACACAGGTGGCGTGCACACACACAGGTGGTGCACACACACACAGGTGGCGTGCACACACACACAGGTGGTGCACACACACACACAGGTGGCGTGCACACACACACAGGTGGCGAGCACACACACAGGTGGTGTGCACACACACAGGTGGCGTGCGCACACAGGTGGCGTGCACACACACAGGTGGCGTGCACACACACAGGTGGCGTGCACACACACACAGGTGGCGTGCACACACACACAGGTGGCGAGCACACACACAGGTGGCGTGCACACACACAGGTGGCGTGCGCACACAGGTGGCGTGCACACACACAGGTGGCGTGCACACACACAGGTGGCGTGCACACACACACAGGTGGCGTGCACACACACAGGTGGCGTGCACACACACACAGGTGGCGTGCACACACACACAGGTGGTGTGCACACACACACAGGTGGCGTGCACACACACACAGGTGGCGTGCACACACACACAGGTGGCGTGCACACACACACAGGTGGCGTGCACACACACACAGGTGGCGTGCACACACACACACAGGTGGTGTGCACACACACACAGGTGGCGTGCACACACAGGTGGCGTGCACACACAGGTGGCGAGCACACACACAGGTGGCGTGCACACACAGGTGGCGAGCACACACACAGGTGGCGAGCACACACACAGGTGGCGTGCACACACAGGTGGCGAGCACACACACAGGTGGCGTGCACACACACAGGTGGCGTGCACACACACAGGTGGCGTGCACACACACACACAGGTGGCGTGCACACACACACAGGTGGCGTGCACACACACACAGGTGGCGTGCACACACACACAGGTGGTGTGCACACACACACAGGTGGTGTGCACACACACACAGGTGGTGTGCACACACAGGTGGTGTGCACACACACACAGGTGGTGTGCACACACAGGTGGTGTGCACACACAGGTGGCGTGCACACACACAGGTGGCGTGCACACACAGGTGGTGTGCACACACACACAGGTGGCGTGCACACACAGGTGGCGTGCACACACAGGTGGTGTGCACACACAGGTGGCGTGCACACACACACAGGTGGTGTGCACACACAGGTGGTGTGCACACACAGGTGGTGTGCACACACAGGTGGTGTGCACACACACACAGGTGGTGTGCACACACACACAGGTGGTGTGCACAGACAGGTGGTGTGCACACACAGGTGGCGTGCGCACACACAGGTGGCGTGCACACACAGGTGGTGTGCACACACAGGTGGTGTGCACACACACACAGGTGGTGTGCACACACAGGTGGTGTGCACACACAGGTGGTGTGCACACACACACAGGTGGTGTGCACACACACACAGGTGGTGTGCACACACAGGTGGTGTGCACACACAGGTGGCGTGCGCACACACAGGTGGCGTGCACACACAGGTGGTGTGCACACACACACACAGGTGGCGTGCACACACAGGTGGCGTGCACACACAGGTGGCGTGCACACACAAACAGGTGGCGTGCACACACAAGTGGCGTGCACACACAGGTGGCGTGCACACACACAGGTGGCGTGCACACACAGGTGGCGTGCACACACAGGTGGCGTGCACACACAGGTGGCGTGCACACACACACAGGTGGCGTGCACACACAGGTGGCGTGCACACACACAGGTGGCGTGCACACACAAGTGGCGTGCACACACAGGTGGCGTGCACACACACAGGTGGCGTGCACACACAGGTGGCGTGCACACACAGGTGGTGTGCACACACAGGTGGTGTGCACACACACACAGGTGGCGTGCACACACAGGTGGCGTGCACACACAGGTGGCGTGCACACACAAGTGGCGTGCACACACAGGTGGCGTGCACACACAGGTGGCGTGCACACACACAGGTGGCGTGCACACACAAGTGGCGTGCACACACAGGTGGCGTGCACACACACAGGTGGCGTGCACACACAGGTGGCGTGCACACACAGGTGGCGTGCACACACAGGTGGCGTGCACACACAGGTGGCGTGCACACACACACAGGTGGCGTGCACACACACAGGCGGCGTGCACACTTGCTGTGACTGTTGTGGGGTCAACACTCGCGTCAGTAGTCACCCTCGATGGTTACCAAATGTAGTAACTGTCCATAAGTCACATAATGTTGACTCTGTACACCAGCTCATCAGAATGTATTCATTGATGATTAACAGAACAAACTGGGTGGTAGAGAAGTGTGTTGACAACCCTGGAGCCGTAGCCCCCAGAAGGTGACACACCGGGCAGTACACCACGTCAACGTCGTCCAGGACGATCAGTAACGTCGTCAGTCTGATCTCCAGCCCCGTGATTGTCACTCACCCGCCTCACAGGTCCCGAGAGTGGACCACTGTGTGAGTTGTTGACCTCGGCCAGGGCCGACAACAACTCCCAGGTGGACCACCTGGGAGTGTGGTCCACCTGGGAGTGTGGTCCACCTGGGAGTGTGGTCCACCTGGGAGTGTGGTCCACCTGGGAGTGTGGTCCACCTGGGAGTGTGGTCCACCTGGGAGTGTGGTCCACCTGGGAGTGTGGTCCACCTGGGAGTGTGGTCCACCTGGGAGTGTGGTCCACCTGGGAGTGTGGTCCACCTGGGAGTGTGGTCCACCTGGGGGTGTGGTGCATCAGGGTGTCACCCCTGACGTCACAGGATGCCTGTCACTGGCAACCACAGGTCACTGGGACGGTGCACCAACACAGCCTACTCTACACCTCCCCACATAAGTATAACTATATGTAGTAAAGATATATATACTAGCACACTACTCACACAATATCTCTCACAAAGTGTCGGAAGCACTCAATATATAACGCTCTCTCAGCTATGAGTTACTCGCCTTAGTATTAGAGATAACTGATGTAGTCATGTTTTAGTAAAGTAGATGTTCTCGGTAAAGCTCACTGCTGATCACAGTAAAGCTCAGTGTTGATCACAGTAAAGCTCACTGCTGATCACAGTAAAGCTCACTGCTGATCACAGTAATGCTCACTGCTGATCACAGTAAAGCTCACTGCTGATCACAGTAAAGCTCACTGTTGTTCACAGTAAAGCTCACTGTTGTTCACAGTAAAGCTCACTGCTGATCACAGTAAAGCTCACTGCTGATCACAGTAAAGCTCACTGTTGTTCACAGTAAAGCTCACTGTTGTTCACAGTAAAGCTCACTGCTGATCACAGTAAAGCACACTGCTGATCACAGTAAAGCACACTGCTGATCACAGTAAAGCTCACTGCTGATCACAGTAAAGCTCACTGCTGATCACAGTAAAGCTCACTGCTGATCACAGTAAAGCTCACTGCTGATCACAGTAAAGCTCACTGCTGATCACAGTAAAGCTCACTGCTGATCACAGTAAAGCTCACTGCTGATCACAGTAAAGCTCACTGCTGATCACAGTAAAGCTCACTGCTGATCACAGTAAAGCTCACTGCTGATCACAGTAAAGCTCACTGCTGATCACAGTAAAGCTCACTGCTGATCACAGTAAAGCTCACTGCTGATCACAGTAAAGCTCACTGCTGATCACAGTAAAGCTCACTGCTGATCACAGTAAAGCTCACTGCTGATCACAGTGAAGCTCAGTGTTGATCACAGTGAAGCTCACTGTTGTTCACAGTAAAGCTCACTGTTGATCACAGTAAAGTTAACTGCTGATCACAGTGAAGCTCACTGCTGATCACAGTAAAGTTCACTGCTGATCACAGTGAAGCTCACTGCTGATCACAGTAAAGTTCACTGCTGATCACAGTAAAGCTCGCTGGGTGTGTAGGCCACACCTGACCGTCGCTGGGTATGTAGTCCACACCTGCACGTCGCTGGGTGTGTAGTCCACACCTGCCCGTCGCTGGGAGTGTAGTCCACACCTGCCCGTCGCTGGGTGTGTAGTCCACACTTGTCCGTCGCTGGGTGTGTAGTCCATACCTGTCCGTCGCTGGGTGTGTAGTCCACACCTGCCCGTCGCTGGGTGTGTAGTCCACATCTGCCCGTTGCTGGTGTGGACTACGATTTCTCGGTACTGCTTCACCTCCCGTTGATAAGTAATTGACAGGTGTGTAACGTACGATTATGTTGCGTTGTTGTGTAGATCAGATACACATTATTTAGTGAGCTTCATATATATTTAGTAGTTTAGACGTTCAGACGGAGCTTGGAGCAGAGCAGAGCTGAGTGAGGCCGGAGTCGCGGAGCTCTATGTGGAAGAGCGTGGCGGCTCGATGGGGAATCGTGAGTTTCTGAACTCATGGAGGAGCGAGAGCATTGTAGCTCGATGCGGTCGTAGTCTGCTGTCTGCTCTGTGTCGAAGCTTGTAGCGTCTTGGGTCGATTAGAACTGTACACGCCGAGTGCTACATTCTTGAGGTTGAAGAGGTGAGGTAAATCCAAAGTGTCTGTACTGGAGTTATATGAATCATCGTGGAAATTGTACTGTCGATTATTCGCAATTTGCTTGCTTATATTCGGCGACTACACCTCAGCCTCCTCCAACCAGCATGGAAAGCATGTTACCTGTAAATAGGGATAGTATTATAGCTTGTGTAGTTAGTGCTAATTAGTTATGCCATTAAGATAATGAGAGACTGTAGTGAGTATATTGTTTGTACTTGCTATAGGTGTGTCTTACAAGATGGGAGATGTCTTACTGACTGGACTGAGCGTCCACACCTCCAGGGACTCCGTCACCACCTGACGCTCCCAGCTCTCACACACAGTTTAGTTCCCCCCCCCCTGGCCGTTCTCTCTCACACAGTTTAGTACCCCCCCCCCCCTGGCCGTTCTCTCTCACACAGTTTAGTACCCCCCCCCCCCCCGGCCGTTCTCTCTTGTGCTCCAGTATTCACAACAGTAACTGAAAGAAGAGAGTCGACCGCTGCTGCTTCAAGTGCATGAGAGCGCTGATGTCAGATGTCACCGTCAGCACCAGTCAGCCTCCAGTCACAGTAGTAACTGTGTGGGTGAAAGTACCCATATACCGTGACGGACCACCAAAAGTACCCATATACCGTGACGGACCACCAAAAGTACCCATATACCGTGACGGACCACCAAAAGTACCCATATACCGTGACGGACCACCAAAAGTACCCATATACCGTGACGGACCACCAAAAGTACCCATATACCGTGACGGACCACCAAAAGTACCCATATACCGTGACGGACCACCAAAAGTACCCATATACCGTGACGGACCACCAAAAGTACCCATATACCGTGACGGACCACCAAAAGTACCCATATACCGTGACGGACCACCAAAAGTACCCATATACCGTGACGGACCACCAAAAGTACCCATATACCGTGACGGACCACCAAAAGTACCCATATACCGTGACGGACCACCAAAAGTACCCATATACCCTGACGGACCACCAAAAGTACCCATATACCGTGACGGACCACCAAAAGTACCCATATACCGTGACGGACCACCAAAAGTACCCATATACCGTGACGGACCACCAAAAGTACCCATATACCGTGACGGACCACCAAAAGTACCCATATACCGTGACGGACCACCAAAAGTACCCATATACCGTGACGGACCACCAAAAAAGTAGACTTTTGTATTATTGAATTTGAACAAATCGGAAACTTTTTTATATGAAACATAAATAAAAGACCCAATCGAACCTGTGCTATCATTCCCAGGCCTCATACACGTTATCTTAGGACACATATAATACACGTTATCTTACGACACATATAATACATGTTATCTTAGGACACATATAATACACGTTATCTTACGACACATATAATACACGTTATCTTACGACACATATAATACACGTTATCTTAGGACACATATAATACACGTTATCTTACGACACATATAATACATATAAGGGCTATACTAGGCCTAGGAATATTTAAGCTCGATTTTAACTTTATTTTCCAGACTCAAAAATAAATAGTACAAAAGTGGTTTACTGGAGCCGTGAGTTTACTGGTTGCAGTGGTTTACTGCAACCTACATACAGGTACTAACGACCCAATAGTTGTGTAAGTTTACCCCTTAATGAGGACGGGTGGTCAACTTCCACGAGCTCACTCATCATGGCAGGTGGTCCACTACCTCTCAACTTCACTCCCATTGGTTGATCCTGTTAATACCTGTCGCTCCACCAATCACAGAGCGACACGTGGCGCCTGTCAGATGGACGACATGCTGGTGGGAGGAGCATAGACGCACAACCTTTAAACAAACAAAAATATTACATTCAATATTTAAAACTAAATAATTCACATAAAATATTTTTAACTCTTTAATCACATGAAGAAATTCACGAAACATTTACTTCATGTTATGTGTAGTTGTACGGCCTCATATATGTAGTTGTACACCCTCATATGTGTAGCTGTACACCCTCATATGTGTAGTTGTACGGCCTCATATGTGTAGTTGTACGGCCTCATATGTGTAGCTGTACGACCCTCATATGTGTAGCTGTACACCCTCATATGTGTAGCTGTACACCCTCATATGTGTAGTTGTACGACCCTCATATGTGTAGCTGTACACCCTCATATGTGTAGCTGTACACCCTCATATGTGTAGCTGTACACCCTCATATGTGTAGCTGTACACCCTCATATGTGTAGCTGTACACCCTCATATGTGTAGCTGTACATCCTCATATGTGTAGCTGTACACCCTCATATGTGTAGCTGTACACCCTCATATGTGTAGCTGTACACCCTCATATGTGTAGCTGTACACCCTCATATGTGTAGCTGTACACCCTCATATGTGTAGCTGTACACCCTCATATGTGTAGCTGTACACCCTCATATGTGTAGCTGTACACCCTCATATGTGTAGTTGTACGACCCTCATATGTGTAGCTGTACACCCTCATATGTGTAGCTGTACACCCTCATATGTGTAGCTGTACACCCTCATATGTGTAGCTGTACACCCTCATATGTGTAGCTGTACACCCTCATATGTGTAGCTGTACACCCTCATATGTGTAGCTGTACACCCTCATATGTGTAGCTGTACACCCTCATATGTGTAGCTGTACACCCTCATATGTGTAGCTGTACGACCCTCATATGTGTAGTTGTACGACCCTAATATGTGTAGTTGTACGGCCTCATATGTGTAGCTGTACGGCCTCATATGTGTAGTTGTACGACCCTAATATGTGTAGTTGTACACCCTCATATGTGTAGTTGTACACCCTCATATATGTAGTTGTACGACCCTAATATGTGTAGTTGGACGACCCTCATATGTGTAGTTGTACACCCTCATATGTGTAGCTGTACACCCTCATATGTGTAGTTGTACGGCCTCATATGTGTAGCTGTACACCCTCATATGTGTAGTTGTACGGCCTCATATGTGTAGCTGTACACCCTCATATGTGTAGTTGTACGGCCTCATATGTGTAGCTGTACACCCTCATATGTGTAGTTGTACGGCCTCATATGTGTAGCTGTACACCCTCATATGTGTAGTTGTACGACCTCATATGTGTAGCTGTACACCCTCATATGTGTAGCTGTACACCCTCATATGTGTAGCTGTACACCCTCATATGTGTAGTTGTACGGCCTCATATGTGTAGCTGTACACCCTCATATGTGTAGTTGTACGGCCTCATATGTGTAGCTGTACACCCTCATATGTGTAGTTGTACGACCTCATATATGTAGCTGTACACCCTCATATGTGTAGTTGTACGGCCTCATATGTGTAGCTGTACACCCTCATATGTGTAGTTGTACGACCTCATATATGTAGCTGTACACCCTCATATGTGTAGTTGTACGGCCTCATATGTGTAGCTGTACACCCTCATATGTGTAGTTGTACGACCTCATATGTGTAGCTGTACACCCTCATATGTGTAGCTGTACACCCTCATATGTGTAGCTGTACACCCTCATATGTGTAGTTGTACGGCCTCATATATGTAGTTGTACGACCCTCATATGTGTAGCTGTACACCCTCATATGTGTAGCTGTACACCCTCATATGTGTAGTTGTACGACCTCATATGTGTAGCTGTACACCCTCATATGTGTAGTTGTACGACCCTCATATGTGTAGCTGTACACCCTCATATGTGTAGTTGTACGGCCTCATATATGTAGTTGTACGACCCTAATATGTGTAGCTGTACACCCTCATATGTGTAGTTGTACGACCCTCATATGTGTAGCTGTACACCCTCATATGTGTAGCTGTACACCCTCATATGTGTAGTTGTACGACCCTCATATGTGTAGCTGTACACCCTCATATGTGTAGTTGTACGACCCTCATATGTGTAGCTGTACACCCTCATATGTGTAGTTGTACGACCCTCATATGTGTAGCTGTACACCCTCATATGTGTACTTGTACGACCCTCATATGTGTAGCTGTACACCCTCATATGTGTAGTTGTACGACCCTCATATGTGTAGCTGTACACCCTCATATGTGTAGTTGTACGACCCTCATATGTGTAGCTGTACACCCTCATATGTGTAGTTGTACGACCCTCATATGTGTAGCTGTACACCCTCATATGTGTAGTTGTACGACCCTCATATGTGTAGCTGTACACCCTCATATGTGTAGTTGTACACCCTCATATGTGTAGTTGTACGACCCTCATATGTGTAGCTGTACGGCCCTCATATGTGTAGCAGTACGGCCCTCATATGTGTAGTTGTACGACCCTCATATGTGTAGCTGTACGGCCTCATATATGTAGTTGTACGACCCTCATATGTGTAGCTGTACACCCTCATATGTGTAGTTGTACGACCCTCATATGTGTAGTTGTACGACCCTCACATGTGTAGTTGTACGACCCTCATATGTGTAGCTGTACACCCTCATATGTGTAGTTGTACGACCCTCATATGTGTAGCTGTACGACCTCATATGTGTAGTTGTACGGCCCTCATATGTGTAGCTGTACACCCTCATATGTGTAGTTGTACGACCCTCATATGTGTAGTTGTACGACCCTCATATGTGTAGTTGTACGACCTCATATGTGTAGTAGTTGTACGACCCTCATATGTGTAGTTGTACGACCTCATATGTGTAGCTGTACACCCTCATATGTGTAGTTGTACGACCCTCATAAGTGTAGTTGTACGACCCTCATATGTGTAGCTGTACGACCCTCATATGTGTAGCTGTACGACCCTCATATGTGTAGCTGTACGACCTCATACGTGTAGTTGTACGACCCTCATATGTGTAGCTGTACGACCTCATATGTGTAGTTGTACGACCCTCATATGTGTAGTTGTACGACCTCATATGTGAAGCTGTACGACCCTCATATGTGTAGTTGTACGACCCTCATATGTGTAGCTGTACGACCTCATATGTGTAGTTGTACGACCTCATATGTGTAGTTGTACGACCCTCATATGTGTAGTTGTACGACCCTCATATGTGTAGCTGTACACCCTCATATGTGTAGTTGGACGACCCTCATATGTGTAGTTGTACGACCCTCATATGTGTAGCTGTACACCCTCATATGTGTAGCTGTACACCCTCATATGTGTAGTTGTACGACCTCATATGTGTAGCTGTACACCCTCATATGTGTAGTTGTACGACCCTCATATGTGTAGTTGTACGACCCTCATATGTGTAGTTGTACGACCTCATATGTGTAGCTGTACACCCTGATATGTGTAGTTGTACGGCCTCATATATGTAGTTGTACGACCCTCATATGTGTAGCTGTACACCCTCATATGTGTAGCTGTACACCCTCATATGTGTAGTTGTACGACCTCATATGTGTAGCTGTACACCCTCATATGTGTAGTTGTACGACCCTCATATGTGTAGCTGTACACCCTCATATGTGTAGTTGTACGGCCTCATATATGTAGTTGTACGACCCTAATATGTGTAGCTGTACACCCTCATATGTGTAGTTGTACGACCCTCATATGTGTAGCTGTACACCCTCATATGTGTAGCTGTACACCCTCATATGTGTAGTTGTACGACCCTCATATGTGTAGCTGTACTCCCTCATATGTGTAGTTGTACGACCCTCATATGTGTAGCTGTACACCCTCATATGTGTAGTTGTACGACCCTCATATGTGTAGCTGTACACCCTCATATGTGTACTTGTACGACCCTCATATGTGTAGCTGTACACCCTCATATGTGTAGTTGTACGACCCTCATATGTGTAGCTGTACACCCTCATATGTGTAGTTGTACGACCCTCATATGTGTAGCTGTACACCCTCATATGTGTAGTTGTACGACCCTCATATGTGTAGCTGTACACCCTCATATGTGTAGTTGTACGACCCTCATATGTGTAGCTGTACACCCTCATATGTGTAGTTGTACACCCTCATATGTGTAGTTGTACGACCCTCATATGTGTAGCTGTACGGCCCTCATATGTGTAGCAGTACGGCCCTCATATGTGTAGTTGTACGACCCTCATATGTGTAGCTGTACGGCCTCATATATGTAGTTGTACGGCCCTCATATGTGTAGCTGTACACCCTCATATGTGTAGTTGTACGACCCTCATATGTGTAGTTGTACGACCCTCACAT